TACTACAATTTGATAATTTTATTCTTCAGTGATTTATCTCAATATTAATAATACAACAGGAATTAATTTTAATATTAACATTACAAATTACGAACTGAAGTGTCAAGTAGAATTTCAACCCTTGGTATTTACATTTTAATAGCATAAATTGTAGAGTTTTATTTATATTTAATACAGGTATGTACTGTACAGTATTTGCTAATGTACAGTGTGGTTGTAATTAAAGTTGCGCTACTCGGACCTGTGTAGAGCCCGTTCTCGTGGACGTATTTTGATGAAACTTGGTATTAAATGTTATATGTACCAGGGGAAAAGAAAAATGCAAAAAAATATATTTAGTTCGAATTTTTACCACTAGGTGAAAAATGGCGCATGAAGAACAAGAAATACAAAATGGAAACACGCAAAAGGTTTTTATTCACAACATTTGTTTAATGTGCACTCCTTTTGCATCGATTACATGTTCAAAATGCCTTACAATGCTGTAAGGTNCTAGCCAGAACCCACGACAAAACTGGAAAATACCTGTTGATAGTGCCGATAGAAAAGAAAGAGAACATTTGATAATACTCACAATCTGTCAAGGTGCAGGCTCCTGCTATCTCGGTCATTCCGTACACCGCAAGAAGGCGAACATCCAGAGAAGTTTCTATGAAAAGTTGCGTTTCGGGGGAGAGAGGTGCTCCTCCCACAGTGAGAAGCTTCAATCTTCCTCCCACTATTGTCCGAAGACGGTCGAATAACAATCTGAAAGAAAATCGTTTAATTTTGGGTTCAATCTGTTTTCGGGTGAAGGATTGGTTGGTTTCATTCGTTTATGGCAACGCGACATATGGAAGATGCTTCCTGTAGAAGTTACAAAAGTAAAGAAACCCGAAGAACTCCGCGTGGCCTGTTCGTTGGCCAGGCACAAACCCACGACCGGCTACCAAATGTTCAATGGTATTATCCACTCGGCCATTGGTGGGCTTTGGGTAAAAGAAAGCGAGTATTTGTGTATAAGTCTTGCAGTGTTTTGACGAAGTTACTCTGTAAAAACTACATGTTCTTGTACAGTAGAATCCCGATTATCCGAGGTAAGGGATTCAATCTTAGATAATCGAAATTCTACTGTTTAACAGAGGACCCAAGACCATCTTGGTGTTGCCACGATAACCTTGGGTCCTCGGATTCTTTTACAGTCCATGGGTGAAAGTAATTAAATCTATAACGGACAAAACTTGGGTTAGGATAATGTACTAAGCTGTTTAAGATGGTAGTCTGGAAGCCATTCTTCTTCCAAAAAGACTTATATTTAATGGCGAAATTGAAGAAGATTCGGAAGATGGTTCCCTTGGCATCCACCGCTTCTAATATCGACTTTCGAATTCTGTCCAGTACTAACTGACATAAAATACAATAAAACAATCATTTATCGAAGAAAGTATGAATTTGCGAATCATAATGGAGAAATAATTTTATTTTTTCGATATTTTTGAGTGTTTAAAAATCATGCTTCAATAAAGAACCCGTGTAGATAAATATCCGAGTGGAAAATTGTATTATTTAAATGATACATTCACTTTAACCTTAAGATGCTGATTATATTAACCGAAACATTATCTTTACATGCAATGGAAGGGTCTAGTGTTTGCACAGTTTCCTCGTAAAGAAGTAAATTTATGAGGAAACCGTACTTTGTTTTTTTTTTTAATTCTCACATTTATTAATTGAATTAAGAAAATATCTATTCTAGTTATGGCTGCTCCTGTTAAATCTTTATCTGGGTAAACACTGAAAAATATGTAAACGAAATCGAGTGAAGAGAAACGAAGGAAACTCTACTTAAATAGGAAAAACAACAAATGGAAACACTTACAGGAACACAACTCATGCAAGTTGGTCTGAGTACACTGATATCTCCTTTACAGGTACCCGTTTCGATCCCCGGAGACTGAAAAAATATATAATTAAAATGCATTTAATAAATAGGAAAATCTAGTAACGAGTTGCCTAACTTTCCAGGCTTTTATAGGTTTTATTTTAAAAATAACATTTATACAATTAATCGAAATAAATAAAAATATATGTCGTGCTATCTGTTAGGAGATTTTGTTATAAAAATTTTATATTTTTAATTATTATAAAATGGAAAAGATGGAAAGATAGACTGGTGTTAACCTGTATGTGTCATATCATGATTGGGGTGGGAGTTAATGAAAACAGGTAAGAACTCACCTTATCCGACATGGTAAGCGAAGAAGAATAACCGATGCCAACTCCCATTCCCAAGAACAATATCTCTGAAATAAAACAGGAATTAGAAGAAGTTTAACAATATATTGAGTCATTCGAATTATTCTTACCACACATCACTTCGTAGATATGAGCCAAGGGAAGATACGCCAGATAAACGCTGTCTTTGTTACTAAAATATTAAATAACTTTCATTAATGAATAATAAATTAGACGGAAAACCCACGAATAACATGATATTCATCGCTATTTCCTTATTAATTAACTCAAAAATCCACAACGGACCAAATTATATACTCACAACATGGGATTAAATACGTCGTATACCCCTTGAGAACAATTCAGTATACACTTGTGAGTAATCAACACTCCTGCAATTGTTTAAAATATTCTAAATTAGTACAAATAATCTAATTAGTGTATTTTTTTAGAACAATAAAGACGTCGATTATTAGCCTAAATACAAAGAGGAATATAATTCAGTGTTAGTTAAAAAGTACAACGTACTGTGAGTTATGCTGTGCTTCAGTGTCCAAAATTAAATAAATAAATGGTGTTTTTGAATAGAATTATAAAATAATTTAAGCTACAAAAGCCAAAATTAACACATACGGTATGTAAATTTACCAAGATAAGGCCAGCAAAGATCCATCACACACCCAGAAGCCCACTATTTGGTTATTATCGCTAACTGTCATAGGGGAATGACAGTTATTCAGCTTTCCAATGAGCTCTTCTCAGCTGTCTGTGGAACTATTTCAAGGAAAACTATTTATTGAAGGCTTCGGGAGGGGGAGGGTGGTTTTTATGCAATTTGTGCAAGACGGTCAGTGGCATCTATCCCTCTTACTCCTCCTCGAAGGAAAACTCGCTTGAATTGGTGTTGTGAACATCAGTTCTGCGCCCAGGATTGGGGGGGGGGTCCATTTCTCTTTAGTGACGAGTTACGAGTCAGTCTAGATACTGATTCGCGACGAGTCTTCTTCATCTGAAAACAACTTTGGACCCGCTTCTATCTCACTAACATTAGGAAGAGAGACCATTTTGGGGAGGAGATCTCATGGTCTGGGAAGGCATCGTTTTAAACGGCTTTACACCTCTCCACGTGTTTGAGGAAGGCACCCTGACTGCTTAAAGATATAGGGACGAGATCCTTTGAGTCTTACGTAAGACTTTTCAGCGGTGCATTTGGCCTCCAATTTATTTTTTAGACGATAATACTCGTTTTCACAGAAACTTATATTTGAATATGATAATTTCATATACTATATAAAAGCTACAACAAAAATCTTCAAATGTACCAGGTGATTATTAATTGCAATATATTTTACAGACACAGTTCAATAATGTAAAACATATACAGTAATACCTCGGTTTTCGTTGACTTCGGTTATCGTCGGTTTTAGTTTTCGTCGATTTTTTTCGCAAAAAATTTGTTTCGGTTTCCGTCGGTTGCCTCGGATTTCGTTGCTGTGCCCATGTGACCTCGCTGCAAATTTGCAAAAACAAAGGGAGACCCATGCTTTTTCCTGCTCAGTTTAGCGTTGTTTCTTGTAGTGTGAGCATTACTCTGCGTGTCTAGCCAAACAACTGCTCCATGACAGCAGAATGGCCGAGCGGTCAAGGTGGTAGCCTACCGCTCTGGGGGATCCCGAGATCGACTGCGGAAGAGAAAAATATCCCTAGGAATTTTTCGGAAAGTGGTCCATCCGAATATGTCGGGCCCCGTCCCACTCCACCCGACCGCCCCATTGTGGGTTTGGCCGAATTTACAATGGGCTTGCTAAAAGAGGTCCTCTTAGTACCCACAGGGCAGAGAGAGTTAAAAAAATTGCTTTGCTTTCCTTTCATTTTAGCTCCATCACAGAACCAAAGAAAGTTTCCATAGCCAGCAGCCCTTTGAATACCATGTTAAATATTCATTTATTCTTCTTCATTTTATATTAATTTCTTATTGTTTTTTTAGTATTAAACACTGTATTTATTCTGTATAAAATGTGTTTTTGATCTGTATTTTGGAGTGTCTACAACGAATTAATTGGATTTACATTGAAATAATTGCCTCGGTTTTCGTCGGTTTCGGATTTCTCCGATTGTTTTCGAACGGATTATTGACGAAAACCGAGATATCACTGTATAGTACGTGATATTTTTAAACGAAAAAACTTATTAATAAAGAATTTCATAAAAATGTATTATTGTCACCGTTGTTAGAGCCATCTTATTAAAGTATTCTATTGTTAATGTTGACTATGTGATTGTTTTGGTTGTTATGTCTGTTTTCTACGTGTTCGTGTTGTTAAGAGGAGCTGAAAAGTGCCGGATAAGCTCCTTCCCTCATATATTGTAACTTTATTAGAAATAAAAAAAAACACGCTTTGGACTAGTCGCCATCTTGCTCTAGGGCAGGCGTAATCTGTGAGTTCCTGTTTATATAATGCATATTGTATTCACCTATTACTAATCGTTTTTTCGAACAATTATTCAAAAATTATTTGTATCATTTTGTATAAAGCCTGTATTGCAATATCGTACTTGAAAATTCTGTATGAACGTATCTTTCTTACAAATTTTCAAACATTTCGTAAAATTCGTAACATTTCTGTAATATTAAAACACACGAATGTAGCTTATAGATTTTCTTATAAACATGTAAATTCTATGGGAAATTTTATACTAAACTTATTCAGAACAAACCTTTGGGTTCGGCAGTGGATCCGCTGGTGTACATGATCAAAGCCAAGTCGTCGGGAGAAGGCGCTTCCAATTGGATATTTGAGCCTGAAAAATATATTTATTACTGTATTTAGAAGTCTCTATTTCTATAGGCAAATTACTTCTTATATAACTAACTTAGCCTTATTATAGCCCATTAATTGGGTAGATAGTCTGATAAATTTGTCTGGTAAATTTCAATTTTAATAGTAAATTTCTTTAAAATTTATTGCAGGAATCTTTGAATCTTATAAAAGTAGATAAATAACTCTTGGAGGTGCAAGTTGACCGGTAACATAAAATCCTTTTGCAAGATATCGTAATTCAGAAATTTAGAGGATATTTGCACAAGACATTGTCTAAATATTAAATGGGCCACGATTTTATTCACCCGTTTTGAAGCTTAATAACTCTTGTGCCCTCTGTCAAAAATTTTTGAAATTTTGCAGGGAGGTTTGTGCGTTTGGGGCATTGATGCCATTAAATTTTGATGGTTAAAGGTCTAGGGGTGAAGAAATACAGGTAGGTCACGTGTCGTTTCTCGATGTTGTTTGAAATAAATGAAGATTTTACTCGTTATTAGCAAAGTCTATAAACATAAGGTCAGGACACCAATATTCCCTATCCTAATAAATCTGGTTCCTCTGTATATAATCATTAATTAACCATTACTTATATTAACTTTTAAATCAACACTCTTCTAGAACTGTCAACAAGAAAACGGAATAATTCTGCACCTTTGGCTGACAATTTTTTATAATTCGGTGCCGAATACCAAACCATTAAAAAAAATACATAACAAGAATATAACTAATTGATATTTTTTTAAAAAAACTAATAACCAAATTCGCTCTAGAAACACTTTACACACGACCTCAAAGGACCCAATATGGCGACTGCCTCTATGCATTACGGTTTCGTGTCCAAACCTTATATTTATAGACTTTTATTAGCATTTATAATTGTTTTATAAAATTCATCTCTACCCTCAAAATTAAGCCATTTTCTTATAATTCTCATGAAAAGTTTTTTAAATAAAATTTCCTAACAGATGGCACCACACACAATATTAACTTTTACCCGGAAAGTTATGCAATTGATTGTAGATTTTTAAAGAAGAATTCATCGAAAGTACAGATGAATTGGAGCTTTCATTTGCACTAAAATCATCCTATTATTATATATTCTATTATAAAATGACACGTAAGACAGTCTTCAGTAGTATTTAATGGAAGAATATTAAAAAAAAAATATAGGCCTATATATATTAATATTTCTTACAACGGTGCGACTGATACAAACTTTCGAAATGACTGACAAATTGCGTGATTAGAAGAGAAATTCTATGAAAGATAACAGATGTGTTGTAATAATTACGGAAACTTTATCTATTTTATGGAAGTATTTTACATAATAATACAATAACTACGATGCATTAGAGATATTATCGCGTATAAAATTAGAAAGATTGCGTACATTGACAGGAAGATTGCAAAAATATAAGGAAATTGTTTAAATCACCATTCAAAACTGCTATTAGAATACGCAATTTTCAATTGTTATATGCAACAACCCTCCCAAATAATTTTTAAACGTCTTTAATTAGCCAGATAAAGGAATAATTGTATCACGACTGTAATGTTTTACTCTGAACGAAACTTTGTTATTGATTCTGTGTCAACATATCCTATTCCTACTAAGTAAATAGGTTCTATTCTTAATGTGGTACAGCCTATCATACAGTATTTACAATGATATGTATTGCAACTTGAAATAATTGGTTCTACTCACCACTGTAATGGTGTTGAGTAGAACAAAGGTTATATTTCCTTTTAATGTTTCAGAAAATTTATGGTTGGCATTAATTAGTTTGCCTCGAAAATAAACGAGGTAATTACCTGGTCTATTTTTCAGGCAATGCCAGATGTAGATTTAATTATGAGGAAATCTCCACTTGAATTTTTATGTAAATTCCTTGTGGAGACTTCGATGTTCTTGAAGTCTCCTAAATATAAGTTAAAATTTCAAGAATATATACTTATATGCTTAATTTCCATTCTAGATGACATTTGTGTTCAGATCCTTGAACGGTTGGAATGAAACACGGCTCTACAGCAAAAAAGATGGCTAACGCTGAGAGTATCCATATTGGAACCCGGGTCCCCACAGCGGTAGGCTTCCACCTTGACCGCTCGTCCATACGATCTGCCTATTTCATAGATTAAAGCGAATTAACACGTGGGCAAGCTGCCAATGGGTAGGTACTTTACGGGAAGACTCTAAAGTAAACTGGAATTTATTTAAGTCTTAGACACGTGACGAAAACACAGAAAACATTACGTGACCATCTTGCTGATCAGATAGAAACCCACAACAAACTTCCAGTGTTCAATGGTTTTTATCCACTCGGCCACTAATAGGAAAATTGCAATTATAGACCATATTACTATAGAAAATTAGGAATAACCATCCCATTTTCAAGGTATATTTAAGATAATAAACAAATTGACTGTACATCTCGGTGTTTGGGAATTTTTAATAAACGAGACTTAAACGAATTTTGGAGTTTTCGAAAAGAAAAATTCCGATTTAAACATAGTCTAATGCCAACTTCATTTATAACTTATTGGTCATAGCGAATAAATTAATTTGAAAAAAAAAATATTACCTGAATTATTACCCAAGGACTTTAATTCAGAGAAAGACGTCAAAGTCACATTTTCGGGAAATCCTTCGACTTCGGCTGGAAAGAAGTCTTCGAAATAAATGATGTGCCGGATGCAAGGAATCTTCGTCAGAAATTTCTGTAAAAAAAATAATCGGATAATTGAAGCAGAAAACGATGACATTAGATTAATGTAATAAGGCAAATCAACACTTAGACGATTTGACAAAGTGTTGCCTCCCGGTAGGATTTTCTATGGGAAAAACTGGCTCGCAAATAGGTGTTAGACGTAAATAACACCGGAAATACTCCAAGTGACTATCCGATTGGCGAGACTCGAACCTGGGATGAACCATCAGTGTTTAGTAGTTTTGTTTACTTAGCCACTGATGGGCAGGCAATAAAGGCCTATTGCTTTGACTTCGAGTGGCCAATCAAGGGATGACTGACCGGTGGCCTAGTGGATAAAACCATTGAAAACTGGTAGTTCGGTAGACGTAGATCCGCGCCTCGCCAACGGGATGGCCACGTGGAGTTTTCTGGATTTTCTTACGTTAGTAACACCTAAATGGGGCCCAGTTTTCTATAAAAGACCTCCTGGGAGGCACTTCCCCCTGGCAGATCGCCGTACATCATGAAACAAAATAAAACCTAAATGCTGCTATTTGGTAGAAGGATCATCCTCACAAGACGACAACCTGCTTGGAGTTTCCGGGTTTCTTCACGTACCTAATACCTAGTCACACCAGCTTCTTATAGATGGGCCGGGAATCAATCTACTTGACAGATCGCCCATAGCTACGTTGCGTTATTCTATCAATTCAATTTAATTTAGGTTAAGCGCATCGTGTTTTTTCGTACTCAGTGACAAGCGAAAGGCATAATTAGAAGGCCCTTTTATTGATGGAGGAGAGGAAAAGCGTAAAAAAACTAAAGAAGGCGTTTTCTTATTGGCAGAATTCTGGTTATTATCTAATATTTACAATTAAAAATTGGAAACAAGGCTTTGCGTTCTAATTTAGAGTACTTGTATATTAACGAAGACTTTACTGTAAACTTTTACGTAACATAACATAACGTAATGTGAGACTCAGCAGTGTTTATTAACCTACAGCCTGACCTAAATCGTTAACAATACTATTTTATCGATTAAGTATCAAATTTCACACCTAGGAGTTAATCACTCAGCAAGTTCTCAGTCGCGAAAAGACGCTTTCACATAACCTTCCGACCTATTATCGGAAACTTGTCAAATGAATATAGCTACAAACAGATTTTCGTCACAGTTGCAGCCGTTCCTCTAACAAGTCGTCAGCTCCCAACCGGACTTATTACGTGCCTCCTATTTGGATTAACTTCATCGCCAACCGTACTTTTTAAGTGCCTAATATAACGTCGGGCTAACGTCGTCGCCAGAACCAGAAGTTGGATTATTAACCTCAAGAACCTTATTATCAACTATTCGAGAATCAACCAAACTCCGGGTATTTATCGCCACGCGACCTATTGTAAGCTCTCTCTCTCTCTCTCTCTCTCTCTCGAGAACGGTCATTTAAACCTTATTATCAAACTATGGACATATTTTAAGATATGTATTTCCTAGCGTTACCCATTAAACGGTTGTTATGATAATCTAGTCTCTGAAGGAATCACTTCCACTGCGCTGTCTCTCACTCCCTCCATCCAGAATCTGATCGCACCGTTACGCAACCGCTCGCGTGACCTAGTTAGGTTTCCGTGTCAAACGAGAGGCGGTGGTGTCATCCATCCAAGAGGTGTCGACTCTTTGGTCACAATAATAATTTTATATTTTGTATAGTTTTACCTTGATTTCGGGAAGAAATTCTCCTGTGGTAACCAGATAAGGTGAGTCGATTTGATTAATTCCATAGATTATTCCTTCGTGTCCCAAATTTTTGTAACAAGTGGCCACTGTAAAGAGTCGGTTATTTAACAAAATATAAAGAGAAAATTAAAAAAAATCGAATGTATATTATTGTGATGTGATCACAACACTGGGCTCCAATTTTTAATTTTCTTTTAATTTAAAAAATCATCTAACTTCCGGTACAGACCGGAAGTTCGCATTTGTTAATCGGGTCCTCTGACCCTTAAACTTTCTTTATCTGGTCTCGATTTTCATCCATCTAACACCATTCTCGAGATTAACGAAGGACAGACATGCGAATGAACGGTCGGCAGTGGGAATCTGTATTTAAATTTGCAATCCGATAATTGCATCCAAGTGAGCTTACCCGTAATGTTAGTGCGAAAGCAAGCAAAAGCCATCAGAGTCCATTCCAAGCGCGTTTCAGCCAGGATGATGATCTTGTCTTTAGGATTCAATCCAATGCTTCTTAGACCACGAGCTAAATCATCCACTATTACGTCGGCCTCTTTCAATTTCATCCAGTTATAATTTCCTAAAATGAACTAAGGCGGGTGGCCCCCGCTTAATCAGACCTTAATCTCCTATCTACATCATTTCTACTTCTCTTCAAATTTACCTTTTTTATTACTTTCCCATCCTCGTTCTTCACCTTTTTCTCATTTAGTATCTGCCTAGTTCCGAACATATTCCTATTTCCGAATACACGAACGCTTTCCCTGAATAAATTATCCAAAGTTTTCATCTTCAACATATATCTGCTCCCTTCGCGGATTCTTCTGTAAGGACCCGAAGGATTGCCACTCTTTGATTCCGCCTGAAACCAAAGTATTTTTCAATGCGCCCTATTTGGAGAACAGAGAGTAAAAGTTTCAAAGTCTCACCCATTTTCGAGGTCTCCTCCATTTCTTCCATGGCTTTTGAAGAATAAAGTAGAATGGCAGTGTTATAAAATCGTAAATTGAAACGACGATGGTCAATCCAGCAATCGCTATGTTCTCCATTGCTTGTCTGTTTCTCCCAAGTTTTCAATATCTTCCAGAAAAATGGCCGATTTATGGAATAGCACGTGCAGTTGTGTTTCCGACTGATTTGTTGAATGAAGAAAACAATGGGAAAGGCTGTTTATATGAATAAATGGTTATTAGTCTTTCATAACCGGCAGCGCTCTGTTCAATCTACTCTCTGTTAGGAAATATTATACCCTTTTGAAATAATTAAGTGATTGACGACTATACTCGTCAAGGGAGATCGTATGGCAGTGGTGAGGGACGACTATAGTCATCAAGTAATTTTAAGGGGTATCGCCAAAAACTAGCCTACAGCTATTACGAAAAACCATTTACATAGAAATTAATTACGTAACAATAAAAAAAGATTTTTTTACTAGACATAACTGTTTACAAAATCTTTTTCCGAAAAAGTAATGAGAAATAATGATTGAAAAAAATACTTCTAAAATTTTCCATGTTTATTTTCCACTACCTGAAGTAGAAACAGGTTTGACTCAAGGACTATATACTACAGTAGTACATAGTCCTTCTGTTTGACTAGTTCACTATTGAAAGGTTAACACTTAAATAGGGTCAGTTTTCCATAAGAGACGTCCCGAAAGTCACCTCCTGCAGCAGACCTATGTTCGGTGATTTTATCCACTGGGCAACTGATGGGCATTAAATAATTGTCGGTATCTCTACTTCATGCTCTATAGCATATATCAAAACTTTTAATACTTCTGGGTGGTATTTTAAATGTTAAAAGACATTTCAAAGCGATGGCCTGTTATGTCGGCAAAGCTCGATCGAATTGATAAAAGCAATGATGAGTAATACATCACTTGATCCGCGGATCATCTGATATATTACCCTTTCAGCAGTGGAGTAGAAGCGTGGGAAAATTTTTAAGAATTTTCCCACGAGTTTTTCTCGTTTCCCTTGCAAAAAAAAAATTTGTAAACAGTTACGTCTAGTAAAGAAAAAATTCTTCTTTATTGTCACATAATTCTTTTTTTATGTGAATTTTTTTTTCGCGGTAATTTTTGTCTAAAATTTTTTTTTCAAATTTATATTAAATTGTCTTGTGATTTTCTATCCATTACGATTTTTTCAAAAGATTTCAATTTATTTTCAATTTTATATAATTTTTTAAAGTTTCATGCATTTAAGTCCTGACGATTTTTTCCAACCTGCGAATCGAATTCAAGAAAATGTAATTGACAGTTAACGAATTTCATCCACGATTGTAGATGACTTAACAACGACGCCTGGCGGTTTTACCCCCCCTCCCCGGATTGTAAAGTGGGTGAAGGTCGTCTCGTGTTCTACTTTCTGTAGAAGTGACGTAATTATTGTAAATAAAAGAAAATTTTAGTACTGTATATCTTTTATTTCATTTTTAATTTTGTTGTTCAAATTTACACCCAAATATTAAAGCGATTTAAAATATTAGCATTTGGTTAATATACTTAATTTATGTAGAAGAAATATAAATAAAATTTTAAAAAAGAACAAAACAATAAAAAAAATGTGGAAATATTTTTATATATTCATTTTCAGATTTATTGCATATGTTAAATTAATTCACCGGTATTTAATTGTAAAACAATATTTATCATTGGCATGCATCTGAAAAGAAACTATAACTTTTGTAAAAGACACTTTCCTGGAGAAGTGTCTTTTACAAATGCACTCTAAAAAAGTCGACAGTCTACGTCACCAATCTAATGTGTGACCTACTTTCTCTAAGAGTAAAACGAAGTAAGCTACAGTACAGTACAACGATACACATAAACACTAATCATAATGATCAAAACAAATTCTTAAAGTTCTAAAATCCTCCATTCGGTCTTTGATATAGTTCTACGTAATAGAACTAAATCGGTAGACATGTCTAAATAACAGGCCTATAAACAATAAAAAACATAAATGTTTCGAAATTAGGACTATATGCACAAATAAATTAGTAAGCCAATAACACATACTCTCACTTATGTGAACCGCCGGGGAGGTCGGAATCCGTCGACTCTCCCTTTTCGGCAACAGGTCGTTAAACCTACTCACGTGTCAAGATGGCTAAATTTCGAATGCGGTCCCGAAGGGTCGGGATTTTTGTTGTCAGGTCGAGTGGAGGAGGTGAGAGGGGTCGTCGACGAGGCATAGGCGATATACGAGTAAAAGGACACCATTTAACAATGAAACAACGATTTATTAGATAAAACGAAAAGGAAAAAAAAATATAGGTTACAAAATCTATATTTAGTTCACTAGCTCCTAACTCGCGGAGAGAGAGTTTACAATTATTTGTTTCATACCTCTGGTCGATTTCAACGTAGGCACAGAGTTTGACGCACAAAGTTAAAGTTTCCCGGAGACTTAATCCTTTAGACCGTCGATGTNCAAGTGACTATCCGATTGGCGAGACTCGAACCTGGGATGAACCATCAGTGTTTAGTAGTTTTGTTTACTTAGCCACTGATGGGCAGGCAATAAAGGCCTATTGCTTTGACTTCGAGTGGCCAATCAAGGGATGACTGACCGGTGGCCTAGTGGATAAAACCATTGAAAACTGGTAGTTCGGTAGACGTGGATCCGCGCCTCGCCAACGGGATGGCCACGTGGAGTTTTCTGGATTTTCTTACGTTAGTAACACCTAAATGGGGCCCAGTTTTCTATAAAAGACCTCCTGGGAGGCACTTCCCCTGGCAGATCGCCGTACATCATGAAACAAAATAAAACCTAAATGCTGCTATTTGGTAGAAGGATCATTTTCACAAGACGGCAACCTGCTTGGAGTTTCCGGGTTTCTTCACGTACCTAATACCTAGTCACACCAGCTTCTTATAGATGGGCCGGGAATCAATCTACTTGACAGATCGCCCATAGCTACGTTGCGTTATTCTATCAATTCAATTTAATTTAGGTTAAGCGCATCGGGTTTTTTCGTACCAGTGACACGCGAAAGTCATAATTAGAAGACCCTTTTATTGATGGAGGAGAGGAAAAGCGTAAAAAAACTAAAGAAGGCGTTTTCTTATTGGCAGAATTCTAGTTATTATCGATTATTTACAATTAAAAATTAGAAACAAGGCTTTGCGTTCTAATTTAGAGTACTTGTATATTAACGAAGACTTTACTGTAAACTTTAACGTAACATAATAATTTTATATTTTGTATAGTTTTACCTTGATTTCGGGAAGAAATTCTCCTGTGGTAACCAGATAAGGTGAGTCGATTTGATTAATTCCATAGATTATTCCTTCGTGTCCCAAATTTTTGTAACAAGTGGCCACTGTAAAGAGTCGGTTATTTAACAAAAAATAAAGAGAAAATTAAAAAAAAATCGAATGTATGTTATTGTGATGTGATCGCAACACCGGGCTACAATTTTTAATCGTCTTTTAATTAAAAAAAATCACCTAACATTTGTTAATCGAGTCCTCTGACCCTTAAACTTTCTTTATCTGGTCTCGATTTTCATACATGTAACTCCGTTCTCGAAATTAACGAAGGACAGACAGGCGAATGAACGGTCGGTAGTGGGAATCTATATATAAATTTGCAATCCGATAATTGCATCCAGTAAGCTTACCCGTGATGTTAGTGCGAAAGCAAGCAAAAGCCATCAGAGTCCATTCCAGGCGCGTTTCAGCCAGAATGATGATCTTGTCTTTAGGATTCAATCCAATGCTTCTTAGACCACGAGCTAAATCATCCACTATTATGTCGGCCTCCTTCAATTTCATCCAGTTGTAATTTCCTAAAATGAACTAAGGAGGGTGGTCCCCGCTTAATCAGACCTTAACCTCCTATCTACATCGTTTCCACTTCTCTTCAAACTTACCTTTTTTATTACTTTCCCGTCCTCGTTCTTCACCTTTTTCTCGTTTAGTATCTGCCTAGTTCCGAACATATTCCTATTTCCGAATACACGAACGCTTTCCCTGAATAAATTATCCAAAGTTTTCATCTTCAACATATATCTGCTCCCTTCGCGGATTCTTCTGTAAGGACCCGAAGGATTGCCACTCTTCGATTCCGCCTGAAACCAAAGTATTTTTCAATGCGCCCTATTTGGAGAACGGAGAGTAAAAGTTTCAAAGTCTCACCCATTTTCGAGGTCCCCTCCATTTCTTCCATGGCTTCTGAAGAATAAAGTAGAATGGCAGTGTTATAAAATCGTAAATTGAAACGACGATGGTCAATCCAGCAATCGCTATGTTTTCCATTGTTTGTCTGTACGAAGCGTTTCTCCCAAGTCTTCGATATCTTTCAGAAAAATGGCCGATTTATGGAATAACACGTGCAGTTGTGTTTCCGACTGATTTGTTGAATGAAGAAAACACAATGGGAAAGGCTGTTTATATAAATAGATGGTTATCAGCCTTTCATAACCGCCAGCGCTCTGTTCAATCTACTCTCTGTTAGGAAATATTATACCCTTTTGAAATAGTTAACTAGAAACGTAATGACGAAATGATTTTCCTCTATTCGCGTGTTTGTACACACAAGCCAGTGTCTTTTTTTCCTCAATATTTATTCAATTCTTTAATTGTTTTCGGTACAAAAATAGGAATGAAACTTACAACTTTTATTTTCAAATTTTTTCAATTTTTTGCCAAAATTTCTGGAAATTTTTAAAATATTTCACAAGATGTGATAAAATTAATATTGTTCTTCCAGCTGTTATGCCGTATACAACAGAGAAAAAATATGGCGATCGGTCAAAAAGTGATCCTCCCCCTCAAGATTTTTGAAATCGGGACCTTCAATTTCCCGGAAATACAAAGAAATTCGGGATTTTTTCTGTATCTATGGATGTTAGAGTGTGTGAGGGCACGATTTTGTTGGCCCAATTTGAAGCTTACTATTTCCTGATTTGGTTTATTTGGTTATGACAACGCGACACGTGGGCGATCTGCCGAGAGAGGAATGCTTTCAGGGAAGTCATTTAAGAGAAATTGGCCGCTATTTAGGTGTTACTAACGTGAAGAAAAGACGGAAAACTCCAAGTGGCCAGTCTGTTGGCCAGGCGTGAACCCGTGACCAAAGCTGTTCAGTAGTTTTTATCCATTCGGCCACTGGTGGACGTAACTTTTGTGCCTTTTGTCAAAAATGTCTGAAATTTTGCAGGGAGATTTGTGTATTAGGGGCATCGATGCTATTAAATTTTGGTAGTAAAAGTGTATAACACTACTGAACACTGGTAGTTAGTTGATCGTGAATTCGCATCTTACCAATGGGCTGGCCATGTGCACTTTTCCATGTTTTCTTTACTTTATTAACACTTAAATAGAGTCAGTTCCCCATAAAAGACCTCCCGAAAGTTACCTCCTGCAGCAGACCGATGTTCGGTGGTTTTATCCACTCGGCCACTGATGGGCATTAAATAATTGTCGGTATCTCTACTTCATGCTCTACAGCATATATCAAAACTTTTAATACTTCTGGGTGGTATTTTAAATGTTAAAAGACATTTCAAAGCGATGGCCTGTTATGTCGGCAAAGCTCGATCGAATTGATAAAAGCAATGATGAGTAATACACCACTCGATCCGCGGATCATCTGATACATTACGCATTGTGGCATGTGATCGGGCTAGGAGATTGATGATGTAACATTGTTTTTAGATGACAATATAAGGCAATTGAGAAAATACGTTAAATACACTAACGATTAAGTACTGTAGAAGGAAACATTTACAATAAATAAAATACACATCAAAAAGTGAAAAGGTATAAACATGAAGAGGAAAAATATATATAAGGATTGAACTTTTACATAATAGAACAAGTAATTAGTAGGACCTGTAAAATAGTAATGTCTTTAAGAATCAAGGATAACCTGTGGTACAGTACCTAACGAATCGCATAAAATTCGGTTGTTTAATTGGGCGCCATTTTAAATACTCAAAAGGAAAATGTAAGACAGGAAAATTTAATCTTATAAATACTTGGCATGGCTGCATGGCTATCTTACGATCTATGAAGGAAAATTGGGAAAACTAACCTTCAGAAATTTATTGGTAAGAATATTAATATCGAGGATAAAGTAGAAATTATCTAATATTTTACGTTATTATTTTAGATTCCTGGAAGTGTGTACATTCTCGAAAGTATATTCTCTAAGTCGATGATGCTCTAAGTGAGGGCACAAAAAAGCGCATGGGGCGCAGAATTTCTTCCATTTTACAGAATACACGTACCTATTACATTACTTCGTTTGATAAATGATCATAATAAAGCGAATAAATAAATTACTTGAATTATTAATGTTTTAAAAACACATAAATAAATGGAGTTTCCTGTTAGCATTTACAGCAGGAAAAATACATGTATATATACATAAAACTTTATATACAGTATTTTAAATATAATAAAATATATTACAGTTTGGTCAAAGTACACATATATTCGATCATTCTCACTCGGAATGTTTAATTAATAAAAATTAGTATCGGTTCACGACAGTATTCTGACTGGAGACACATGGCCATTAGACACGTGAGCGATCTGCCAAAGGGGGGGGATAAATCCCGGAAGAACCTTATATGGGAAACTGGCCCTTAATTAGATGTTATAAACGTGAAAAAAACCCGGAAAAGGTGCGAACCCACGACCACTGTTCAGTGTTTTTATCTACTTCGGCACTGATGGGCCTCCGATTAACAATACACAAACTTCCGACAAAACAACGCATTTATTTTCTTTGCAAGTGGCTGTTTAAGCAATCGAAACATGTAAACATAAAACTTTAATTCTAGATATAAAACTGATTACGTAGTGGTTATGTCCCTCGAGTTATAATAGTAAACAACACGCATCGCAAAATATTCTTAGAAAAACTCATAATTTACGAACTCCTTCGGGCCATTACAATTTGTATAAATTCTGAAAAAAAAGTAATAATTGCAGTAATTGGAAATGAAATTCCAAACAATAGAACTTTCGATTTTCCGCCTGTCATTATGATGAATTGATTCAAACAGTGGAGCGATAAAAACTAGACGGAAAAAGTATAGATAGAACTGTTTGTTTGACGTGGAGAAAATCTGGAAAACTATGTGGCCAGCCCGTCCGAGGGAGGAGCGAACCCACGACCGAACTCCCAGTGTTCAGGGTACGAAGACCGCTTGGCCATTGGTTGAGCGCACAGATGGAACTGCACGCGCTAAAATGCTTGTTTCTATTGTTTTAATTCTTTTCCCTCGTTTAAGCCATTAAACGGGAGTTTCAACAAATTTTCCATCTTGAATTCGATGAATTTTATAACAGCCCATCACCCACGAATGTTTTCATAAAGGGGACTAAAGCGGCACCTTTTTGACCATCCGGCCTTTCCGCCGAAGGCATTAATTTGCTTCTCTGAAAGACCCGGAATCAAGTTCGAATGGGATTTCAGAAATCTCACAGGTGGTTTGACTGGATGCTTCCAGTTCCTTTCTATAATTTCTTCGCTCCACGATGGACACAAAAGAACGCCATTTTGTTACCTAAATGCTAAAAATATTCTAATCGCCATCATCTACTCTCTAATGATGTTTTAGTCCTCTTTAAACGGTTCTATAAAGTACTTATTTTCGTTGGCGTTTAAAACTTAAGATTGTTACTCAGACTTTTTAACAATTTTTACATCAAAATTTCGTAATAAAATTTAATAGATGGACCCATACATAATTTTATTTATTTTGATTAATAATATAAAAGTTATTTTTTAAATAAAATCTCATAACAGCCGAGAAAGTTATTTTTGAAATTCATTAATTCATCCGGACTTTGTTATCTATTGATATATATCAAATAGAAATCGTTGCAAAAATAAATACTATAATTATACATAAATTAAACGTTATCAGTCGACATAATTCAAGCATAAAAAATCATTGTTTACTCGGTCCAGGAAACTTGAATGCTTGCTTAATTTATAATTGAAGTGTTTATTTTTATTATGGAGATAGATGTGGCTTCGTTTTATCTAAAAGGAGCTCATTTCGATACACCCCGTAATTAATTACGTGTATAAATTTGTGTTTAGATACACTATTAAGCTATTTATACAGTAGACCCCCCCTATAACACTGTTGATAATTCCGTTTTATATGAATTCCATGTTGTACGAGTCACTTAGATTTTACAAATACGTGAGCCGTTCACAGCCCGGCACACGTATTTGTAAAATCTAAGTGACTCATACAACATGGAATTCATATAAAACGGAATTATCAACAGTGTTATAGGGGAGTCTACTGTAATAGCATTACGCGAAGTAATTTTTAATGAAATCAATTGGAATGTTTCTTAAAAACCTTCGCCATAATTGACATTTCTTCTATATTAAATTCGGAAATGAATTGCGTAACTTTCCCGGCAAGAGTTGTTTGTAGCGCCATCTGTTGTGAAGTTTTTTTTTTGAAATATTTATACTATTAATCATTATATAATGGTAAAAAGCTTGATTTTAAGGGTATAAAAACCACGTGTTTATAATTACTTATTCGTCTTCCTTTGTTATATTTTATTGATCTTTTCTTGTATGTTCCCTCCGGTAAATCGGAAAACGTAGTTTAAGGATGATCCCTTATACCATAAATTTATGAAAATAAGATTAAAATAATAATTTTTGTTGTGTCTCGTATGCCATTAATAAAGTATAACTTATTAGTACCATTTCATGGAATGTGTATTTATTGTAAGTGTATCGTCTTGATGCACAGAAACAATTACTTATTTGTAAGTACTTTGATTTAATATCGAAGTATTCAAACAGGAAACTTCGAGACTAATTTAAAACGAATTTTCTATCGATATTCAGATAGATTTGAAATTTCCGGTGTTCTTATCGTCTCCCATCATAGAATCCAACGCTTTCTTGTAATAGTTTTGAATAAATTTCCGACGAACTTTCAGCGCTCCACTGATGAACCCCGTTTCGGGTAACCATTCTTCCGAACACAATGTTAGAATTTTAGGAATTTCTCTACTCAACAGACCACCTGAAAAGAAAGAAGCCACCAGTCTTGTTCGATTCCAATTACAGATAGACTAAATATAAAAAAAAAAAAGAAAACTCACAGTTTTTTCCGTGTGTCTGAACGATTTTTGTAGCTTCTTGAATTACTTTCTTGTCTTTGCAAAGGCTAAGAATGTCCATTCCTTCCTTGCCTAATTCCTTAGCCAAAAGTTCTAACTGAACCCTATTGGGAACCATCAGGGCCACAACGTAATCTAGAAAACCATTGCCGAAGACACAGATGTTATCCACTAGAGGACACGTCTTCAGCCTGCTCTCTACTTTACCCAACGATACGTACTCTCCGAATTGCAGTTTCACCAGATCCTTTTTTCTATCTACAAAACACAGAAAATAAGTTTGCCATTGTTTCATAAACGATCCTTAATTTCTGCTTACCTATGATTTTGAAGCAACCGTCGGGATGGACTTCGGCGATGTCACCCGTATAGAACCATCTGATTCCATCTTCTTCTCGGAAGCTTTCGCGAGTCAATTCGTCTCTCTTGAAGTAACCCGCACTGAGACATTCTCCACCAACCACAATCTCACCTCGAGGGTATGGTTTATCGGTGACGTAATAACCACCTGAAAAAAAGGAAATACTATGGAACTGCCGTTAATGGACACTTCTACTTAACAGACATTTTTATAATACCCAGACTCTTAAAATAGGACATCTGTTTTATTTACAAACTTCTCGCTCCCGACGGTGTCCTCTATTCAGAGGTTATTTAATGGCAAATCGAATAATTTCCCATTAGATTTCAGATAATATCACAAATAAAATCAATCGGGCTACAAGATTACAGCCGTCAAGTTCGATAATAGAGTCACAAATAGTTAAATACCTTCGTCCCAGTCCACTAGACGAACCAAACAGGAACCTATAGGAGAACCCACTCTGCCTTTGCTGTAGTCTTCCACTGAAAAACAAAAAGAAAAAAAAACATATTTATAAATTTAATAGAATAAATACAATAAAATTTATTAAAATACATCTTTAAAATATTATAAAACATTCCGGGCCTTGTGAAATTTATAATTAGTACAGTAAATCTCCATACAACGCGGGGATTCGTAAGAAACCACGAACCGAACCACGTGTTTTCTGTATAAACTGTATGTGTGGAGTAATGGTAAAAAAATAATGAATGTTGAAGTTATTTAGGGTGTTACCTTCCACGTGGACATCGAAGAAGAGAATTGATCTACAAATACAATGCGTCATACTGATCCCATTGTATTTTACTCGAATGAGTCAAAAGATAATTTCTACTTACCTTTGCTGAGAGTGGCCACACCAACTGTTTCAGTTAATCCGTACCCTTGACAGATTTTCACATCTAGACAAGTCTCGACGAAGTCTTGTGTATCGGGACACAGTGGTGCTCCTCCCGAACTCATAATCTCCAAACGTCCTCCTATTAATTGTTTGATGTTGTTGAAAAGTAATCTGTTGTCAAAAGAAGAGAAAGTTAATTCCTCCTCGTATAAGAAATTAAAGCAAGATTAAGGCATTAATCAGAAGCGAATGATGGACCCCTAACCCTTTGGTTAAAATATCGAGTGAATTTTCGAAATATTTTATTATTAGGTTTATTTAAATCATAGAACCAAAAAAAATTCGATTTACCTATTTAAAATAGGAGTCTGGAAGCCGAATTTTTTCCAAAATTGTTTATAATTGACGCAGAAATCGAATACGGATGCGGTCAAAGGACCTTTTGCATTCATCACTTCGTTGATATTCTTGCGAATTCTGTCTAACATTAACTGTTTAAATATCAAGAAATTAGGCAAATTAAATGATACAATAGAATAGAATATTTTACTTCGTATTTAAGCATTAAATATTTCAATTTTTAATAACGCCATGCAATAATAAATAATAGGGGAGGAAGCTCACCGGAACTGCTGGTAAAAGTGTCGGTCTAATGAGACTAATGTCTCCTTTACATCCCGCTTTCAGACCAGGAGACTGAAATGAAAAACTGTATTAAAATGTATACGTTTTAACAACCGTCGATAGGAAAATATAAAAAGTACTAACTTTGTCGGTTAGAGTAAGAGACGAAGAATACCCAATGGGAATTTTGTTAACTAAACAAAAGTTCTCTGTAAAAACAAAAAAAATACATGTATAAACTTATATAAAGAAATAAAAACATTAAATAAATATTATATTAAAAGAGAATAGAGAGGTTGCGGCAGACGTTTTTAACGCGAAAACGTGTACGCCGGACGTTCAGCGCCACCTTCCTGTAAGCCTAGAAGTTTGACAATAGCGTTTGGAACGTCGAACATGATTCCAAACGCCATTGTCAAACTTCTAGGCTTACAGGAAGGTGGCGCTGAACGTCCGGCGTACACGTTTTCGCGTTAAAAACGTCTGCCGCAACTTTTCTAATATTTCTAGGGCTTACCCGCTAACTGCTCGTAGATATGAGCCATTGGTAAATATGCTAAGAAGAAGTCGTCTTCCTTTCTGAAATAAAACGGTAAAAATATTCAGTAAAAGTCATTTCTTTGTACATTTTACTTCGTTAGCACGAAAAGTTTAAAATTATTTAAATTTAAAGAGTGAATAACTTGAATTATGAGAAATTTTTTATAANTTAAAGATCTTTCCGTCTTCTCGTTTGGTCCTCTCCACGTTCAATATCTCTCGACTTCCTAACATCTTTTTATCCCCGTGATTCTCCACACACTTCCTTTCTGAAATAAAACGGTAAAAATATTCAGTAAAAGTCATTTCTTTGTACATTTTACTTCGTTAGCACGAAAAGTTTAAAATTATTTAAATTTAAAGAGTGAATAACTTGAATTATGAGAAATTTTTTATAAAAAATAAAAGACTAAGATACAGAAAAGATACAACGTATTGCTCTAACAAATGGCGATAAGTCGAACCCATTTGCTCTGATAAAATCGAATGGTATCCCCTTTTAAAAGTACACTCGATACTTTAAAATTATATATTTTAAACCACAGTTAATCCTATTCTGCTTAGACGAAAGAAGCATTCAAATTTGCTGGAGTGGGATTATCTGTAATCCTAGTTATGTATCACGGGGGGTCATTTCAGAAAATAAAAACATATTTTAAGACATTCGATACATTACAATGAAGGCTTAAAACGTATTGCAATAAGTAAACACGTGAAAGTCACAATATAAATACAGTCGACGCCACAATAACACGGGTTCATATAGTTCGGATTTCTATATCACGGCGAAAAAATTGCGACAGTATTCGTACAAACACGCTAAAAAAACTCCTATAATTCGGTAAAACGTCATCGCCGACTCGTGTCGCGACAGGATTGGTCGAATCTAGACCAATAGCGAATATTGTACAAACCGTTGAGTTTAAACGAGTAGCGGACGTACTAAAAACCATTTATTATTTAACGTCCATAAAAATTATATTTATATTAATGATGTCTCCAAAGTTCAGCGAATTTTTCGCAAAAAAAAAAAATAATTTATCAGGAAGCACGCGAGCGCCATTCGATGACAAGCTCCACGACGAAAACAAGCTTAAGCAATGGCATCTTTGAATGGTGCACATTCGGTAAGTAATCCTACAATTTTTTTTTTTGTTTATATCATAGTTTATACGGATTATTCCCAAAAAAATTATACGTATTTTGGAAATGTTGAATCAAATTAGTCTAGAATCGATTAATTTTATGGAAGAAAACCTTTCAAACAGCCGTAAACTGCATACGTGCCGGGCTGTGATTGGTTCATGTATTCAAAGACTCGTAAAACATCAATTTCATAAAGAACCGAACGTATCTACCGTGTTATAGGGGGGTCGACTGTAACTTAAATTAGCGTAAATAAGGCTACGAGGACCCCCACTAAACATTCTAGAAATGATTATAAATATATCGAAAATGCAGTTCAAGTATTAGACAAATTATTACGTAACAAATAGTAATATGCTTAACATTGATAGAGACAAATCGTATCGAGGTTATTGTGTTTGTATTAGATAAAAATTACGATAAGTATACATCTTATAATCTAATTTGCCATACTACTACTACTACTACTACTAATTTATCGTACGATTTCATTAAAATTATACGTACAAAAGAGGCTTGGCTGAATTAGAATACGTTTTTAAGCTTCTTATAAAGCACTTGTGAGATATCAACACACCTGAAATTAGAATTCGTCTTAATTAAATGGTAATTTTCGAATTGTAAAAATATCAAAATCAGATATACAAAATATATTTAAAAAAAGAAAAAAAACAAACCTTTGGGTGCATCCGTCGATCCGCTAGTATACATTATAATAGCGATGTCTTCGGGAGAAGGAGACACCAATTGGCAATCTTCGAATAAACAAAAGTGTAAAACAATGGGCGGTGTTTGAACAGTAACTTAAATGGTTCCGATCATTGTGTTATGCCTGTTCAAATATATCTGAACAGGCGCCCCTGTACGCAGTGCCGTAACTAGGGCGGTGCCAGCGGTGTCCAGGAACAGGGAGCAGAAATGACCTGCACCAAGTTTTGGGTCATAGTTACAGAAGCTCGCACCGGGAGCATAAAAGTCTAGTCACGGCGCTGCTTGTCCGTTATACATGAACGTGTAAATGAGAAAACTAATAGTTCAGGGCGATGTACTGTACCACATGAAAATCACTGTACTTCATGTAGTTCTAAGCGTTACTTACCGCAGTCACGTCCCATAGATTCTACTTGTGAGTAACTGTAAAGTTTTACATCCGGAATATCGTCCGAAACCCGAACGCCAAAATCCTCAAAGTAAACAATGCATTTAACAGATGGAAGTTTGGGCAAGATTTTCTAAAATAAACAAAACATTAGCGCTTTACTTTCGATGAGAACACGTTCCAAGCCTCCACTTACCTTAACGGTAGGAAGAAGTTCGGCGTAAGTGATCAAATAAGGAGATTCGACTTGATTAATTCCGTACGTTAGTCCTTCTTCTCCCAGATTGGTATAACAGGTGGCCACTGAAATCAAAATATTGAAGCGAATTTCGGGTGAAAATCAACCATTCGCGTGATACTTACCCACGATTCCAGTTCGGAAGCAGGCGTGAGAAATTAGCAACCATTCTATCCTGGTTTCTGCCAAGATCACCACTCTGTCGCCGGGATTCAGACCAATTTTCCTCAAACCCAAGGCTAGATCGTTCACTCTGCGATCGGCTTCCCTCAGAGTCAGCCACTTGTAATCACCCAGGATCATCTAGAAAACCACAAAAGATAAAAAACAAGATTCTTCCTCTCACTTACCTCACTGAAATCTCACCTTTTTAAAGATCTTTCCGTCTTCTCGTTTGGTCCTCTCCACGTTCAATATCTCTCGACTTCCTAACATCTTCTTATCCCCGTGATTCTCCACACACTTTCGAAACAGTTCATCCAGAGTACAGAGTTCAGTATGCAAGCTTTCGGATGTATCTAGCCCCCTGTAAGCGCTTCTAGGGTTTTGTTCGTCCACAATGGCCGCCTGACAATATAAATAAGTGATTCATACTTCTGCGGAGAAACGTGCTTTCGGTGTTTTTTTACTTATTTTTAATTATCTGACAAAGAATAAGACTCACCCATTTCTGTTGTCGTTTCCACGTCCAATTTCTCCAAGGCTTTTGTACAACAAGATAAAGAGGAAGAGTTAGTAAATCCAAGAAGAAGATGAAGACTTTCGCCGCCGACAGAAATAAAAATATGGCAACTTTGTTCATTTGCACTTCGAAACTAAAAATGGCAGAAATTAGAAAACAAAAATTACATTTTTGATCTTCTGAAGGTTTACTTGTTTATGACAACGCGACAAGTCGAGGAGGATTCCTCCAGGACTTTCTATAGGAAAACTTGGTCCTGTTTGCGCGTTACAAACGTAAAGAATCCCCGAATATTTTTACATTTTTGGAGGTTTCTTCTATATGTATGTGTATTTGTGTGTGAGCACGATTTTGTTTAACCTCTCAGCCGAAAATTTCTGAAATTTTGCAGGGAGATTCGAATATTTGGGAACCGATGCTACTAAATTTCGGTGGTTAAAGGTTGAGGGAGAGTGAGGAGTTAAATTATCGTTAAAATTACTACAGATAATTTGCAGTAACAACGTAAACACGCGCTAAACTTAGTGAAAGTAACAAAAATTCTAATTGGATCGTTACCTTGAAGAAAAAAAGGCTCGTAACCTGTAGATCACGTTGGAATTGCAAGCTTCTCCGGAAGGACTGTACAAAGGCTGAAAGAGGGGGAGGGGAGGGGGAGGGGGAATTTAATGTATTGTTTAACTTATGTTCGTCACAGTACAAATAGATTTTAAAAGAAGAGTGATCAAATAAATGAATAAGCTGAGTTTCAAAGGTCTCTCTTTCTTACCATTTTTATCTCTGCGACAAGGAGAAGTGACGTGTGGAAAATAAAAATCTCTCTATCTAGTTACGTTGTTTATAGAGGTTTAATATTTATATGTTACCAAATAATCCGTGATTATATTTTGTAACTTAAAATGGAGAACGTAATGCACGGATGTTTCCACATAATACGAGAACAATGACCGAATAGATACTCAGTCGTATGTCTTCGATTATTCGTTGAGGCAAACCGTGCCGTATCACAGGAACCAATGGTCCGATTTTCCTGAAAATTTCTAGAAATATTTTCCTCTAATGCGCAAACCTCTGTGCAAATTTTCAGAAATTTTCGACAAAAGGTACAGGAGTTATAAAGCTTTAAAGTTGGTGGAAAAATACCGTGCCCCTCTCTCACACGCGGGCTAACATCTATGTATACAGAAACCCCCCATATTTTTATGTATTTCTCGAAATTTGCAGGTCTCCCGAGTACAAAAATATAAAAATCTTGGGGGGTCTTTTTTAAAATACTTTCCTTCTGTTATATAACAGCCAGGAAAGTAAAATTGAGCCCCGGAGAGGTCCATATCTACTGCACTTCAAAATTGTAAAGGTACATCACACAGTAAATGAGCAACGATTTAAAATTCGGTTGACATTCGTTTTATTCACAACAGTCAGTCAGTCAGTCATTGGACACTAAACAAATAGCATTATCTACCGCCTTATCACCAGCGATAAACTTGAAAACGTAGAAAAATACAAGCCCGAATCTAATCGTTTAAGTAATACCGAGTTATAACAATAATATTTTAAATTGTAATTTAGTTTAATGAGTTAAATATTGTTAATTAACACGCTTATAAGCATCAGGTTAACATCAAACATTTAAGCCTTTGTCGTGACAGAAAAGGCAATCCCTATCTTAAGAACGATATAAAGGTCAAAGACGAGAAGGACGAAGATCGAAAGATCGACTCAAGTTCCGGATTTTTTTCCAACAACTCTTTCGTAACTGGACTCGTGACGCGACATTCGGGCGACTCGGCCGCCATATTTAAAATCGTGTCTCACCCGCACCATTTCCCGACGAAAAAAAATAATTCGGTGAAGATCGATCCAATAAAATACGCGTACGTAAAATGCACAGCATATACGTCACACGTGATTTTCATTTCTGGTGTTTTTAGACGTTAAAACACGAGAAAAAGATCCTTTCTCCAAAACGGGGAAAAAAACGATAATTGTGGACTTTGGACCCTTCCGAATAATCGACACTTTACAATGTTGGAAGGGATTATTTCCGGAACCCTCGACTAATGGTTTTTTTCGTGGCCATTTCCTCTTCCCCTCCGACTCGACCACCGACCGGAAGTGCGACACTGATATGGCACGCGGATGTAGTGTCTTTTTTTATATATGAAATGGCACTGAGCCGGGCTTCAAAAACTAAAAAAATAAAAAAACCAAAATACTTACCGACGTTTGCCTGGTGTTACGGACTACTTGGAAGCGACGAGTACGATTATCGACGACTCGACCTCGATCTTCGGACCCCGCCGAGATAAAGTTCGTCTTTTCTTAATTCTGTTTCTTCCGGTTGTCGGCGCTCCTCCTCCCCCTTCAAGAAAGGAGGAGGAGCTTTTTCGTTCTCTCTTCCGTTCTTGAAGATACGAAAGGCATTGTTCACTTCCGGTTTAATCCAAATGGTAATTAATGTCCGAATGGGTTAAGAGGAAGAATCGCCTCTCGATCCTATTTTGTATCTGCTGAAGTTAATAACCTAATCGAACGTAAATTGTCATTTTTATTTCTATCCGAGTCCGCCAGACGGTGTTCTAGTCTATGCCGGGATTTCTAAATTCCTAAGATTGGCATAGATAGAACCTCCGAGGCACCTCTCCCGATCTTCATGCGTTGAGTCGGATTAACACGTACAAGTCGGCCCCCCTATAACACTGTTGATAATTCCGCTTTATATGAATTCCATGTTGTACGAGTCACTTAGATTTTACAAATATGTGAACCGTTCACAGCCCGGCCCACGTATTTGTAAAATCTAAGTGACTCTTACGACATGGAATTCATATAAAACGGTGTTATAGGGGGTCGACTGTATACTACTAGAATAAGCGTGCTTATCCGGTATACGTGTACGTGTACGTGTACTTGTACGTGTGTACCCGACTTAACGCCTTATCCGCCTGGATAATTCGGCCATCAACTAAATATACCTAATCACTATCGGATGTTGCTCCTATCCGTGCCCCATTCAATGAATTGTAATCGATCCCAATCGAGAGATAATTTAGGAGAGGGCATCGGACGATCTCCGATCACATCTAGAAAATAAACACTTCATTTTGTATTAACGTTTTATCTAAAATCCGGATAAGAAACGTTCAGACATACGATATGACATTTTTTAAACTAGTGGCTTGCCCGTGTATATCATACTTTTCCTTTAACAATAGAATCGTGCCGGTCATATTAACTGCTTTCGGGGTAAACGTTTGAATTAAAATACTGTGACTTCCGATTTGTGTGGGAAGTTTATATATATTTAATAGGGACCTCCTGCTCCTGCCGTTTCTATATCTGGTTTCGGATTTCATTTATCTTTTCCCGTTCTCGAGATTAAGGAAAGACAGACGGACGGACGACAATGGGAATTTTTGGGCTACAATTTTTTTCTTAAATTGTATCCCAACAAATATTTTGTGGGGAAGAGAATTTTGCAAAATGCCGCTAATTTCTTAGTAAATAATTAATTTTACCGCAGCTAAATCCCAGATAAGATTTAAATTATTAAATTTGAAAGTTTAGAATAACCGATCTCTCAGATGATACGGTAGTTTAAAGTTCAAAGGTTATGGCGAATCAGAGAGCGAGGTACAATAATGTTTGTTAAAGTTCTATCATTTGATGCCTACTGTTCTTGTCCAGACGGGTAAGTGTTTTATTTCTGAAATTATTAAATCTTCTATTTATTTCTAATTAAATTAGATATTGGTTGCAATTTTTCATATCTCGTCCATCCTTATATCTATCCTTTAATCTCGAGTACGCTTGAGTCCTAGTCGATGATTCACCCGATGATCTTCTGTTGCAAGTGACTTCATTAAGTCATGACTCTGACTCAAATTCTCTTCCTATATCTATATATATATATATGACTTACATTTAACTACTGTTAAAAATATCCAGCAACGAGGTAATTAAGCCTGACCCTACTGGTGATACGACACACGAATCCCTTTATCTCCCCACTCCATCAAAATTTATTGAAAAATACATTATTAAGCATTTTAATTTGCTTTATTTGTAAACAATCTAGCCTTAAACTTTGTTATTATTATTAGTATTCATAGTCTTATATATATATATATATATATATATATAGTCATTGTACTGTGATATTAGATCCAAGCGCTCTTGGTGCAACGACGAGTACTATCGACCGCCATTTTGTTTTTAGTCAAAATACCGATGTTTGTTTAGTTAAAGTAACGCAACACTTGGCCGATCTGCCTTCCGGGAGGTGTTTTTAAGGGAAACTGGCCCCTATTTAGGCGTTACAGACGTGGAGAAAACCCGGAAAACTCCACGTGCCAGCCAGTCCCAACGAGGCACGACCGAACTCCCAGTGTTTAGGATACAAAGACCTCTTGGCCGTCAAAATATCGAAGTTTGTACCACGTGTCGGACAGGATTGTCACTTTATAATCTATTTTCTTATGTAAATCGTTTCATCTGGAATTTAGCCATTTTCTAGATTTTATTCAATTGTTATAAAGAAGGTAAGATCAGAGTTTAAAGTGATAAGTGTGGTATTTAAATAGGCGAAATAAAGCGAACTGTTTTAATCTCGTCCTCTGTTAATTGTGTACTAGTTAGAATATTCTAGCTCATTGTCTGTACACAACATAAATGACACGCTTCCGTGACTAAAAAGAAAATGGCGGACGTGTATTAAACACAGCCTTTGTATGTTGTATATTTTAGCTGGTTGGTTTTAATGGGCAATACAACCAGTCAAATTATAACATTAATATCAAGGACGCCTAATAAAATAAGTTACTAATCGAGTATAATCGATTTAAAGTGTAACGAATAGAATTTTATGCGCTTTTCTCATTATAATTACTCACCTCTTCGCCATTATAATTACTCACCAAGCTATGGGCAACACTTACCATTTTCCTCAATACAAAAACTGTTTAGGAACCGACTTTATTCGAATTATCAATGAAGAAAATTAATTAATTAGTTAAAATTTACTGGTCCAACCTATTATAGCGAAATAACCCGGCTAGTGTCATATTTTACGAAATTAATTTGTTTCGCCGTCAACAGATGGCGCCATACTTCCGAGTGCCACGAATTTCCATTACTTTCCGTTTTTTTTTCTAATTTTACGTGTTTCTATGACGTCATTCTTCCGTCTACAAGGAGATTTTCCGTCTTTATTAATTTCGTTGTAATTTTCGCTTTGATCCAACCTACGAAAATTAATTGATGACGTAAAAGAAAAACCTGCCCGGCGCGCACGTAATTCTCGTACGACGAGGCCACCGATAGGTGTCGCCACGGCACCTATCGGTGTCGTGGCGTCACCTATCGAGAGGAAAAATAAAACAAAACGAATCCAAATATGGAAAAAAAAAAGTCTCGTTTATTATAAACGAAATGAAAATTCGGCGCGGTCGCCGGTCGAAAGGGAACTTCCGGTCCCGACCGGAAGTCTCAGTCGGAACGAGAACCGGCGGACGTTCCGAGAGGGGGAAGGAAGACATATTATTTATTTACTTATCGGAATGCCGTCCGCGGTCTTTAGTGCCAATTAGCGCGGCGTCGTCCGGCGCGTAATTACGTAATAAATTTGCCGCGTCCTACTTAATTCCCGAGTAAATGGCAATTCGCTTCCATCAGGAGCATCCGGCGGCGCGGAACGTCCGGAACCTTCGAAATTTATCGGAGGAGGCGGCTCCGGTCGTCCCCACCGCGACTTCCCAAAAACAAAAATATATATAGGCCTATATATATATATATATATATATATATATATAAACGGGAGCCGGTCCGAGCCCTCGTCGTCCCTCCAATAAATAAAATAAGTGGTTCGGCTCTCGGACCTCCCACCCCTATAAATAAAGCGCGAGACTAAACGGAGCGAAGGTCATCGACATAGGTGCAGTTTCACCTCCGTCTCGCACCTCTGGCACTCCACGTAGCAACACCAGTGGTACTTGCAACGACACTGGACCACCCTCTTCTCCACCATCGTCCGGTATCCTCGCCCACAACACATAGAATCGCATCCATCCGTTCCCGTAGAACTGGCGTTGCACGTCCTGAAAAACAAACAAAACAAAAAAAAAAAACAATGGTTTCACACAGAAAACTTCGCAAGGCGCCCCCTCGCGCCCGCAACAGAAAAACGAAATCCCCACGTCATTACGCGTGGTGTTTTACGTAATCTTGTGACGTATCAACGCGCGAGACTATTGAATTGACGTATTAAAAGTTAACGACACGAGAAGATGGCGAAGGGGGGGAAGTGGAAGAAGAACTCGTCGTTTCGAAACAATACGAAACGACCGAACAAATTGAAAAGGTCAAATGCATCTCGACTGGATGACGTTAAAAACTTATTTTTTCCTATTATTAACCTACTTACTATTTAATTCGCGAAGGTTAGTTTCTGCTTAACGTTCCACCCCCCTCCCCCGTTTTAACGTTACGTTACTTTGAGTTTAAAACGCGTATTGCGGGATTCTGTTTGCCGATTTTCAAAATATTGTATTGTTTACTCCGTCGGTTGTTTATATTCCTTTTGTTGTCACGGGTATGAAATTTCTATCAATCGCCATTTTTCACAATAAATAAAGTAATTTGAATCGCGTTATCGGGAATTACACTCGATCTACTCCACGTGACTTAAAACAAAATGGCGTCGAGACTATCGCGTGGTATGGGTGACGGAATTGGTGACACGTGACACTACCTACGCCTGTTGTCGCTTACGTAATTCGAGACTAGGGGTGTTCCGATAAACCGAAATATTCTCTATCTTACGGATAAACGATTAAATCGATTAAACGGCCATTGATTCGTCGAATTTGAATTTTCAATAGATTTCAATTGGTCGTGACGTAAGTTATGAGGAAATTTCGACTGAATTAAAGCTCCGTTCAAAATTCGTGAGGTTGGCACTTGGGGGGAGGGCCCAAAATATTCACAATACAGGTAATGTGAGGCCCCCTTATTTTAGTGAGGGGCCTCACGGTCTGAGGCCCGAAAAATCGGAAGAGAAATCTCAGATTCGTTCTATGCGATTCCCCATTTTGTTTTCGAGAATAATTCAAAATATTTTGGAAAATATTATTTTTTTTTTTTTAACGCCAGATCCGGTATACTTTTTACGCCTTCTGACTCGTTTTTAATTGCACTTTGATCCTTCTTAGCCAATTAAGTTACCGTGAAAAAAATTAAATAATATTTTTATTTGCAGTCCGACTCGGCTCTTCGAGTAAAAATNAAAAAAAAAAAATAATTTATCAGGAAGCACGCGAGCGCCATTCGATGACAAGCTCCACGACGAAAACAAGCTTAAGCAATGGCATCTTTGAATGGTGCACATTCGGTAAGTAATCCTACAATTTTTTTTTTTGTTTATATCATAGTTTATACGGATTATTCCCAAAAAAATTATACGTATTTTGGAAATGTTGAATCAAATTAGTCTAGAATCGATTAATTTTATGGAAGAAAACCTTTCAAACAGCCGTAAACTGCATACGTGCCGGGCTGTGATTGGTTCATGTATTCAAAGACTCGTAAAACATCAATTTCATAAAGAACCGAACGTATCTACCGTGTTATAGGGGGGTCGACTGTAACTTAAATTAGCGTAAATAAGGCTACGAGGACCCCCACTAAACATTCTAGAAATGATTATAAATATATCGAAAATGCAGTTCAAGTATTAGACAAATTATTACGTAACAAATAGTAATATGCTTAACATTGATAGAGACAAATCGTATCGAGGTTATTGTGTTTGTATTAGATAAAAATTACGATAAGTATACATCTTATAATCTAATTTGCCATACTACTACTACTACTACTACTAATTTATCGTACGATTTCATTAAAATTATACGTACAAAAGAGGCTTGGCTGAATTAGAATACGTTTTTAAGCTTCTTATAAAGCACTTGTGAGATATCAACACACCTGAAATTAGAATTCGTCTTAATTAAATGGTAATTTTCGAATTGTAAAAATATCAAAATCAGATATACAAAATATATTTAAAAAAAGAAAAAAAACAAACCTTTGGGTGCATCCGTCGATCCGCTAGTATACATTATAATAGCGATGTCTTCGGGAGAAGGAGACACCAATTGGCAATCTTCGAATAAACAAAAGTGTAAAACAATGGGCGGTGTTTGAACAGTAACTTAAATGGTTCCGATCATTGTGTTATGCCTGTTCAAATATATCTGAACAGGCGCCCCTGTACGCAGTGCCGTAACTAGGGCGGTGCCAGCGGTGTCCAGGCACAGGGAGCAGAAATGACCTGCACCAAGTTTTGGGTCATAGTTACAGAAGCTCGCACCGGGAGCATAAAAGTCTAGTCACGGCGCTGCTTGTCCGTTATACATGAACGTGTAAATGAGAAAACTAATAGTTCAGGGCGATGTACTGTACCACATGAAAATCACTGTACTTCATGTAGTTCTAAGCGTTACTTACCGCAGTCACGTCCCATAGATTCTACTTGTGAGTAACTGTAAAGTTTTACATCCGGAATATCGTCCGAAACCCGAACGCCAAAATCCTCAAAGTAAACAATGCATTTAACAGATGGAAGTTTGGGCAAGATTTTCTAAAATAAACAAAACATTAGCGCTTTACTTTCGATGAGAACACGTTCCAAGCCTCCACTTACCTTAACGGTAGGAAGAAGTTCGGCGTAAGTGATCAAATAAGGAGATTCGACTTGATTAATTCCGTACGTTAGTCCTTCTTCTCCCAGATTGGTATAACAGGTGGCCACTGAAATCAAAATATTGAAGCGAATTTCGGGTGAAAATCAACCATTCGCGTGATACTTACCCACGATTCCAGTTCGGAAGCAGGCGTGAGAAATTAGCAACCATTCTATCCTGGTTTCTGCCAAGATCACCACTCTGTCGCCGGGATTCAGACCAATTTTCCTCAAACCCAAGGCTAGATCGTTCACTCTGCGATCGGCTTCCCTCAGAGTCAGCCACTTGTAATCACCCAGGATCATCTAGAAAACCACAAAAGATAAAAAACAAGATTCTTCCTCTCACTTACCTCACTGAAATCTCACCTTTTTAAAGATCTTTCCGTCTTCTCGTTTGGTCCTCTCCACGTTCAATATCTCTCGACTTCCTAACATCTTTTTATCCCCGTGATTCTCCACACACTTTCGAAACAGTTCATCCAGAGTACAGAGTTCAGTATGCAAGCTTTCGGATGTATCTAGCCCCCTGTAAGCGCTTCTAGGGTTTCGTTCGTCCACAATGGCCGCCTGACAATATAAATAAGTGATTCATACTTCTGCGGAGAAACGTGCTTTCGGTGTTTTTTTACTTATTTTTAATTATCTGACAAAGAATAAGACTCACCCATTTCTGTTGTCGTTTCCACGTCCAATTTCTCCAAGGCTTTTGTACAACAAGATAAAGAGGAAGAGTTAGTAAATCCAAGAAGAAGATGAAGACTTTCGCCGCCGACAGAAATAAAAATATGGCAACTTTGTTCATTTGCACTTCGAAACTAAAAATGGCAGAAATTAGAAAACAAAAATTACATTTTTGATCTTCTGAAGGTTTACTTGTTTATGACAACGCGACAAGTCGAGGAGGATTCCTCCAGGACTTTCTATAGGAAAACTTGGTCCTGTTTGCGCGTTACAAACGTAAAGAATCCCCGAATATTTTTACATTTTTGGAGGTTTCTTCTATATGTATGTGTATTTGTGTGTGAGCACGATTTTGTTTAACCTCTCAGCCGAAAATTTCTGAAATTTTGCAGGGAGATTCGAATATTTGGGAACCGATGCTACTAAATTTCGGTGGTTAAAGGTTGAGGGAGAGTGAGGAGTTAAATTATCGTTAAAATTACTACAGATAATTTGCAGTAACAACGTAAACACGCGCTAAACTTAGTGAAAGTAACAAAAATTCTAATTGGATCGTTACCTTGAAGAAAAAAAGGCTCGTAACCTGTAGATCACGTTGGAATTGCAAGCTTCTCCGGAAGGACTGTACAAAGGCTGAAAGAGGGGGAGGGGGAGGGGGAGGGGGAATTTAATGTATTGTTTAACTTATGTTCGTCACAGTACAAATAGATTTTAAAAGAAGAGTGATCAAATAAATGAATAAGCTGAGTTTCAAAGGTCTCTCTTTCTTACCATTTTTATCTCTGCGACAAGGAGAAGTGACGTGTGGAAAATAAAAATCTCTCTATCTAGTTACGTTGTTTATAGAGGTTTAATATTTATATGTTACCAAATAATCCGTGATTATATTTTGTAACTTAAAATGGAGAACGTAATGCACGGATGTTTCCACATAATACGAGAACAATGACCGAATAGATACTCAGTCGTATGTCTTCGATTATTCGTTGAGGCAAACCGTGCCGTATCACAGGAACCAATGGTCCGATTTTCCTGAAAATTTCTAGAAATATTTTCCTCTAATGCGCAAACCTCTGTGCAAATTTTCAGAAATTTTCGACAAAAGGTACAGGAGTTATAAAGCTTTAAAGTTGGTGGAAAAATACCGTGCCCCTCTCTCACACGCGGGCTAACATCTATGTATACAGAAACCCCCCATATTTTTATGTATTTCTCGAAATTTGCAGGTCTCCCGAGTACAAAAATATAAAAATCTTGGGGGGTCTTTTTTAAAATACTTTCCTTCTGTTATATAACAGCCAGGAAAGTAAAATTGAGCCCCGGAGAGGTCTATATCTACTGCACTTCAAAATTGTAAAGGTCCATCACACAGTAAATGAGCAACGATTTAAAATTCGGTTGACATTCGTTTTATTCACAACAGTCAGTCAGTCAGTCATTGGACACTAAACAAATAGCATTATCTACCGCCTTATCACCAGCGATAAACTTGAAAACGTAGAAAAATACAAGCCCGAATCTAATCGTTTAAGTAATACCGAGTTATAACAATAATATTTTAAATTGTAATTTAGTTTAATGAGTTAAATATTGTTAATTAACACGCTTATAAGCATCAGGTTAACATCAAACATTTAAGCCTTTGTCGTGACAGAAAAGGCAATCCCTATCTTAAGAACGATATAAAGGTCAAAGACGAGAAGGACGAAGATCGAAAGATCGACTCAAGTTCCGGATTTTTTTCCAACAACTCTTTCGTAACTGGACTCGTGACGCGACATTCGGGCGACTCGGCCGCCATATTTAAAATCGTGTCTCACCCGCACCATTTCCCGACGAAAAAAAATAATTCGGTGAAGATCGATCCAATAAAATACGCGTACGTAAAATGCACAGCATATACGTCACACGTGATTTTCATTTCTGGTGTTTTTAGACGTTAAAACACGAGAAAAAGATCCTTTCTCCAAAACGGGGAAAAAAACGATAATTGTGGACTTTGGACCCTTCCGAATAATCGACACTTTACAATGTTGGAAGGGATTATTTCCGGAACCCTCGACTAATGGTTTTTTTCGTGGCCATTTCCTCTTCCCCTCCGACTCGACCACCGACCGGAAGTGCGACACTGATATGGCACGCGGATGTAGTGTCTTTTTTTATATATGAAATGGCACTGAGCCGGGCTTCAAAAACTAAAAAAATAAAAAAACCAAAATACTTACCGACGTTTGCCTGGTGTTACGGACTACTTGGAAGCGACGAGTACGATTATCGACGACTCGACCTCGATCTTCGGACCCCGCCGAGATAAAGTTCGTCTTTTCTTAATTCTGTTTCTTCCGGTTGTCGGCGCTCCTCCTCCCCCTTCAAGAAAGGAGGAGGAGCTTTTTCGTTCTCTCTTCCGTTCTTGAAGATACGAAAGGCATTGTTCACTTCCGGTTTAATCCAAATGGTAATTAATGTCCGAATGGGTTAAGAGGAAGAATCGCCTCTCGATCCTATTTTGTATCTGCTGAAGTTAATAACCTAATCGAACGTAAATTGTCATTTTTATTTCTATCCGAGTCCGCCAGACGGTGTTCTAGTCTATGCCGGGATTTCTAAATTCCTAAGATTGGCATAGATAGAACCTCCGAGGCACCTCTCCCGATCTTCATGCGTTGAGTCGGATTAACACGTACAAGTCGGCCCCCCTATAACACTGTTGATAATTCCGCTTTATATGAATTCCATGTTGTACGAGTCACTTAGATTTTACAAATATGTGAACCGTTCACAGCCCGGCCCACGTATTTGTAAAATCTAAGTGACTCTTACGACATGGAATTCATATAAAACGGTGTTATAGGGGGTCGACTGTATACTACTAGAATAAGCGTGCTTATCCGGTATACGTGTACGTGTACGTGTACTTGTACGTGTGTACCCGACTTAACGCCTTATCCGCCTGGATAATTCGGCCATCAACTAAATATACCTAATCACTATCGGATGTTGCTCCTATCCGTGCCCCATTCAATGAATTGTAATCGATCCCAATCGAGAGATAATTTAGGAGAGGGCATCGGACGATCTCCGATCACATCTAGAAAATAAACACTTCATTTTGTATTAACGTTTTATCTAAAATCCGGATAAGAAACGTTCAGACATACGATATGACATTTTTTAAACTAGTGGCTTGCCCGTGTATATCATACTTTTCCTTTAACAATAGAATCGTGCCGGTCATATTAACTGCTTTCGGGGTAAACGTTTGAATTAAAATACTGTGACTTCCGATTTGTGTGGGAAGTTTATATATATTTAATAGGGACCTCCTGCTCCTGCCGTTTCTATATCTGGTTTCGGATTTCATCTATCTATTTCCGTTCTCGAGATTAAGGAAAGACAGACGGACGGACGACAATGGGAATTTTTGGGCTACATTTTTTTTAATTTTTTTTTTAAATTGTATCCCAACAAATATTTTGTGGGGAAGAGAATTTCTTAGTAAATAATTATTTTATCGCAGCTAAATCCCAGATAAGATTTAAATTATTAAATTTGAAAGTTTAGAATAACCGATCTCTCAGATGATACGGTAGTTTAAAGTTCAAAGGTTATGGCGAATCAGAGAGCGAGGTACAATAATGTTTGTTAAAGTTCTATCATTTGATGCCTACTGTTCTTGTCCAGACGGGTAAGTGTTTTATTTCTGAAATTATTAAAACTTCTATTTATTTCTAATTAAATTAGATATTGGTTGCAATTTTTCATATCTCGTCCATCCTTATATCTATCCTTTAATCTCGAGTACGCTTGAGTCCTAGTCGATGATTCATCCGATGATCTTCTGTTGCAAGTGACTTCATTAAGTCATGACTCTGACTCAAATTCTCTTCCTATATCTATATATATATATATGACTTACATTTAACTACTGTTAAAAATATCCAGCAACGAGGTAATTAAGCCTGACCCTACTGGTGATACGACACACGAATCCCTTTATCTCCCCACTCCATCAAAATTTATTGAAAAATACATTATTAAGCATTTTAATTTGCTTTATTTGTAAACAATCTAGCCTTAAACTTTGTTATTATTATTAGTATTCATAGTCTTATATATATATATATATATATATATATA